CCTAGATTTATAAACTCCATGTGCTTTAGATAAATTTTTGCTTGTCACTTTTCTCAACTATGTGTTCTTCACAGGAGTACGCAATAATATTGAATTTTCTAGTAAGAGCCTGAACTTTTTAAGTTGTTTATTAAAGGGTCTTCTCGCCCCACTGGACAATTTATGAACAGTGGATGTCTTTCCTTCTGTGTTCATGGTGCCTGCCACATAATATTACTCCGTAAATAGTAATTGACTGTAAGTAATTAAGATTCCAATAGTGTTTTGAGATTGCTGCTTTATTATATTGTATCAATTGTAGAGAAAATAATGGAATTTCATCTAGACCAGGACTTCTTAAAAGTGGCAGTTTTGACATTTGGGGAAGGATAATTTGTTATGGGAGGATAATTTGCTGTGGAAGGATAATTTGTTTCCTGTGCACTATAAGATAATTGTTGGCAGAAACTCTGGGCTTCTACGTAATGGATGCCAGTAGACATTGTGTTGTGACAACTAAAAATGTCTCCAGACATTTCTAAAGGACCTTGGGCTGGGGGCAACATTGCTCCCATTTGAGAATCATTAATCTAGATTATAAATCCCCCGGAAATGGAAAGGGAGAAATGAGAACTTCTTCAGAATTGCTTTTTTCCCGTATTTTTATTTGTTCAGTTAATCCGTGAATGTCTAGTTAAGGTATTATGAGAAATGAAGTGTGAAGTGCTTCCAATTTAAAGTATGGCAAGAAAATAGGATATAGGTTTAGAACTTGACTTTTTAAAACGAACTACTGCAGCCAGGTTTGGTAGCACATGCCTGTAAACTTGGGAGGCTGGATTTCAAGTTCAAGGTCAGCCTCAGCAACTTAGGCTCTAAACAACTTATCCAGGTCCTATCTCAAAATAAAAAGGACTGGGGATGTGGGTCAGTGATAAAGTGCCCTGGCTTCAATCCCTAGTACCAATAAAACAAAATTTAAGACTATAATTGAATTGTTAACCTAAAGAAATTTTTATATGACTCACCAGTTGAATAAATGTTACTAAAGCACGCGAGGCTCAGTGGTGCATGCCTGTAATCAGAGCCTGAAGCAGAAAGATTGAAAGTTCAAATCTAGCCTGGGCAACTTAGCAAGACCCGGTCTCAAAATAAAAACTAAAAAGGGCTAAGGATGTACCTCAGTGATAAAGTGCCACTGAGTTCAATCCCCAGTATAGGGGGAAAAATTGTTTTTAACCTAAAGTGATCCCAACTACTGGAGCTTTTAAAAGAATAAGTTCTAACTTGATTGCTTTTTGTAATAAAAGAAGCATATATAGCAGAGTATGAAATTGTTTCTGGAAAGTGTATTTATAAAATTTTCTCAGTGGAGAGGTGTGATGGCACACATCTGTAATTCCAGCAGCTTGGGAGACTGAGGCAGGAGGATCACAAATTCAAGACCAGCCTCAGCAACTCAATAAAAAGGGCTGGGGATGTGTTTCAGTGGTTACGCACCCTTGGTTTCAATAATTAGTGAAGGGCTGGGATTGTGGCTCAGTGGTAGTGCACTTGTCTGGAATGTATGAAGCACTGGGTTCTATCCTCAGCATCGCATATAAATAAATAAATAAAAAGGCATTATGTCCATCTGCAACTAAAAATATATATATACTTAAAAAATAATGAAGAATTGATTTTTTTCTGTAGCTTGTTTTTTTTTTCCATTTTTCTTTTTTAGTTTTTTTTTTTAAACTGGTACATACATATTTACATTGTATGTATTTATGGTATCATGTGGTGTTGTAGTTTGGTTTTAATAATTTATAAACAATATGACCAAAGTTCAAGTATCCTATGAAGTTAATTCTTAAATGTTTCTTGCCCTTAGGAACTATATCTAGCATCTGCATACATGTGGATTTTTGTGTTTTTGCTGCTTAAAAACCCACTAAAGTACTAGGGATTGGACCCAGGGGTACCTTACTACTGAGTGATATCCCAGCTCCTTTGTATTTTTTGAGACAGGGTCTTCTGAAAGTGCTTAAGACCTTGCTAAATTGCTGAGACTGGCATTGAACTTGCGATCCTCCCGCCTCGGTTCCTATCAGTGGGATTACAGGCACACACCATCACACCCAGCTCATACGTCTAGTTTGATGGTGTGATGTAAGTGGATGCTTACCTTTTTTAAAAAATATTTTTTAGTTGTAGTTGGACATAATACCTTTATTTTATGCTGAGGATCGAACCCAGTGCCTCACACATGCTAGTGAGCACTCTACCGCTGAGCCACAACCCCAGCCCCCTTGATGCTTTTCTTTAAAAGTCCTTGAGGGTAGTTGATACTGTGTTCTGAGAATAATAGTCTTCTAATGTTAGCCTAAGTTAATGAGTAATCAGTATGTAACTTATATAATGAGTACCCAGGAAGACATGGTGTGGAACATGGCAGAGGCAGTCACTTCATGATTACTGATCATAATCTTATAGTTGTGGACCAATGATTGTAATATGTCTCCATTCTCCCTCTTTTTGAATGGGAGTTCTATTAGAATTATTGTGTCCCTTTCTCAGATATTGGGTGGTTAGGGGAGAGGAGACATATGACTTGTTTTTTATAGGTTTCCATGCTGAGAAGAACTGCACCCTAGGATTCATCCACATATACATTTGGTGCAAATGACAAGATCCTGGACTTCCATCCAGGATAATATAATAAGAAAAAGTTTTTCCAGGAGGGACATAAATTGTTCTGGCCAGAGGGAGGCAAGAGAAACAAGTAATAATACCAAATTCTGGCTTCACAATTTTTCAGTAATAATTAGGAGTGCAATAGTAAGACTTCAGGGGTGAAAGTCTGTGGGTTGAGGGGAAAGGATAGTTTGGAAGGGTGCTACACAGAAGGCCCAAAGTGAAGTAAACAAAGGATGAAAATTTATTCCACACTGCCCATTAAAGCCTATCCTGTTTCTATAGCCTTACAACATTGCTTATATGAAATAATGCAAAGGCATCAAGATTAGGTTCCAAAGATGGCATTTTCCATAAGCGTATCAACAGTGAAATGAGGAGTTTGAGGTAAAATAAGTCAATTAGACTAACATTCCCTTTTTTTGTAATAGACTTTGTAATCTAATTCATGAATGCACTTGATATAAGAAAATCACAAACAGATACCATGATAGGTAAGGCTTTTCTTAGAAATACATATTGATTCACAGAGTTTTTGCAGTTTTCACTCCACATCCTTAGCCACATGTCAAACCCAACTCAGAAATACAAAACTCTGAGGGCTCTTTTGATGTTAAAGGTCTTAAAACTATTAGTATTAACTCAAGTTTCAGTCTTTTTGTCTTATAAAGAGGATGAGTGATAGATGATAACAAATGAAATTGGCCCTCTAGCTACAAAGGAACTTAATTTCTCTTCCTAGTGCAAAAGCGATTTATGATTTATTTTAAAGATTTTTTTTTAAGAATTTAACCTTTTATTTATGTGTTTTTATGTGGTGCTGAGGATCAAATCCAGTTCCTCACTGTGCTAGGTAAATGCTCTACCACTGAGCTACAGCCCCAACACTAAAGATATATGTGTGTGTGTGTGTGTGTGTGTGTGTGTGTGTGTGTGTGTATTTTTTAAGCATTTTTAGGACTAGGTGTGGTGGCACACTCAGTATCCCAGCAACTCAGAAGGCTGAGGTAGTGAGGTAGGAGGATCCAAGTTTGAGGTCAGTCTTGGCAACTTGGACCTTGTCTTAAATTTTTAAAAATTTAAATTTTTAAAAATAAAAAGGGCTGTGGTTGTAGCTCAAAGTAGAGCTCCCCTGGGTTCAATCCCCAATACCTAAGATGAATAAGTAAATAAAAAGCAATTTCAGGTTCACAGCAAAATTTAAAGTATAGATGTTTCTCATATACTCCCTGCTCTTATATATACAGTCTTCCTCACTATTAACATCCCCAACCATATAACTGTTACAACTGATGAATTTGCCTCATCAATTATCTATCACTTGAAGTCTAGTCATCTAAATTCTTCCTTGTCATTTTTTGGGGGGTGGGGGTGGGTTGGAGGTACAAGGGATTGGACCTAGCAGGACTGAGCCACATCCCAAATCCTTTTTTATTGTTTATTTTTAAGCAGAGTCTCACTGAGTTGCTTAGGGCATCACTAAGTTGCTGAATCCGGCTTTGAACTTGTGATGCTCCTGCCTCAGCCTCCCAAGCTGCTGGGATTACAGGAGTGCACCACCATGCCCAGCCCTCCTTGTCTTTTCATTACTTGATGGCTCATTTCTTTTTAGTGTTTAATAATATCTTATTGTCTGGATGTGTTTAATGTTTATTCATCCCTATTAATCTACTGAAGGACATCTTCATTGCCTCCTAATTTGAGCAGTTATGAATAAAGTTTTCATAAATATTTATGTGCAGGGTTTTTTTTTTTTTTTTTTTTTGTGTGTGTGTGTGTGTAGATATAAGTTTTCATTCCTTAAGGTAAATACCAAGGAGTGAGTTGGCTGATTATATGATAAAGTGAGTATGTTTAATTTTATAAAAAGCTCTTCTAAAGTGGCTATATCATTTTGCATTCCCACCAGCAATTAATGAGAATTCCTATTACTACATATCCTTAGCAGCATTTGGTGTTGTCAGTATTCTAGACTTGGCTATTTTAATAAGCGTGTAGTAGTCATTTGTACTTTTAGTGTGGAACAGACAACAAGATTGGCTCTGATTATTCTGAGTAATTGACTTGCTATTTATGCTTGAATCTCATTAGTTAGGGCTGTTAATAATTTTATCAGGTCAGACAGGTTTAAATGATAGGGTTGTTAATAGGTTTGAGTGATGCTTCTAAGATGCAGACCCAAAATCTGGATTTAGCAAAATTAAGAATGCAGCCATCACAGGTAAGTGTCTAATCCTCAGATCTCTTAAAACAATAATGGAATTTAATCCTTCGGGAAAATTCTCTTGTTAGTGAATTTCTGTTCTCTTTCACCTTGGTCAGTAGGCCTTGGGCTAAAAGGAAGATCCTTAACATTTGATGCATACCTGACACTTAAGATAATCCCCATAACATTATTTAATTCTCACAATTTCCCTATGTTTTGTATAATCACTATTTATGATTCATCAAACATTTAAGTTGGGATTTTTCCACCTCTTAGTCATTATGTGTGCTTTCCCTTCCACCTCAAATAGTCTTAATTTCTCCTTTTTTGCCTGGTGAATCTCCTTCAGAACTCATCTCTGATGTTACCACTCTTAAGGAAGCCTTCCCAATCCCCTAGGTTTGCTTCCCTATTATAATCTCATTTTGTGTGTTATGTGTCATTTTCTGTGTTATTTGTGTCAAGTATCATTTCTTACTACATATAGGTGCTCAGTAAATAATCACTGTATGATTATGTCCAGTAAGTACTATAATCAGAAGTTGAATGTTGATCTCTTCAAAAACTTCCTTTAAATTACAATATACACAAAACCTAACAGGAAGTATTTCTTAATGAAATTACCCAAGAGACTCTTCCTCAACTTGATCTCAGATCTAAATTGGCTATCTAACAATAAAAGTTATTCATTACTCTATGTATACTGGCTAGGGTGTGATTCTGAGCTAAGAAACTGAAAGTCTTCAACAAGACTCCCCAGTTCCATTTGCTAGGCAAATGCTCTACCACTGAGCTACAGTTCAGCCCTTCTCTTAAGAGAAGTCCCACCTTTCTGATCAGCTATTTCTAAAGAAAGCTGGTGGAAAAAAGTTTCCAGAACTACAAATTCAGTTAGGAAAGTACAAGCTGTGGACACATCTGCTGTTTTACCAGTATTTCTAACTTCCTGTTGAGCTGAAAACTGCTTGTTTTGTGGAAGAGCAAAATTTAATAGCAAACATCTAAAATGAAGAGTCCCAAAACTTTTGAGGAACAAACAGAATGCATCGTGAACACTCTACTCACAAACTTCCTGAGCCCAACATTGCACATTGCCAACCGGGACCTGGGCTCCATAGACGAACCTGACTCAGGTAAGGCTCCTGACCTGAGATGGTGATTACAATGAACCAGAGAATCTGAGTGTACTTTTTTTTTTTTTTTTTTTCATCTTAAATAAACTCTAAATTTCTAGCAACCCCTGAAGGGAAAGAGATTCTCAGTGAAGGTAAATTTTCTGACTACTGGTGTTGATAGCACATTGAAGTTCTTGGGGAGAAATTGTTTAAAAGACTAGAGAAGTTTTCCCCTTTGCCCAGATTCCTGATACTTATTCCATCAAGCATTGTGACCAATTTGTTTCCTCTTTCTTAGGAGAGGCTTGCTGCTTTGATGTGGCTATCATTGCTGGTCGCCTTCGGATGTTGGGTGACCAATTCAATGGAGAATTGGAAGCTCCTGCTAAAAACGTCATTGCAAAAACCATTCAGGGACAGGTCAATTGTTTACTTCTTGCTATTGTTTTTTACTCTTTTCTATTTCAAACCTCCTTTTCTTACTATATAAACTGTGACTAGGAATGTCCTGTGAAAGATTTGAGGGCTTATATTTATCTAAGGGGATACAGCAGGAAATGCCCATTGCCCATTCTTTTTTTTTTTTTTTTTTCTTTTCTTTTTTTGGTACTGGGGATTAAACACAGGTATACTTTACCACTGAGTGATATCTCCAGTCCTTTTTATTTTTTATTTTGAAATAGGGTCTTGCTAAGTTGCTTAGGGCCTCATTAAATTGCTAAGGCTGACCTTGAACTTTCAATCCTCCTGCCTCAGCCTCCTGAGTTGCTGGGATTACAGGTGTATGCCACCACACCTGGTGCATCCTATCAATTGACACAAGATTTTATTTTGCTTTTCCACTGTGAAGTTTACTCTTTTCCCCTGTGTAATTAATAAGTTTTATAAAGAGGTACTTTGCAACTATGCAAATATCCTATAACCCATCAAAATTTCAATCTGTTTACTTTTATATCACTACAACTTATGAATTTCCACATTATTCAAATATCCACATTACTCAACAGGAAGTTATCATCTGTTACTATCATTATTTAGATGCTCAAATTGTCTCGTATTTCTCTGGTGAGAATCCTTTTGATTAGGACCATGACTCTTTTATGTGTACCATACTTTGAGTACTTCTTTAATTTCTAGTAGAAGATCTTTACTTTCCATGCTGTCTGGAGTCATCCATTCTCCAGGGAGCTGTGTTTCTTTTAATGAAAAAACGATGTTCAGAAACTTAGATCTGGGTCCCCTTCCATGTGATTCCCTTCTTAACTTGTTTGGACTCTTGACACCTTCCTCTGACTGTTAGTTCCCCAAACCCCAAAAGGCCATGTTTGGCTCCACCTAATGGCTTTTGGATGAAGTCATTTGGAAAGGGGAAAGGAAAGATGAAAAGGAAGAGCTTTGTTTCTTTTTTCTTTTACTTTAGAGTTGCCTAGAATTTTCTTAGTCATGCAAACAATACCTTTACAATTTGGCCTACTGTACTTTCATGTACTTAATATTTTTCTTTCAAAAGTCATTTTTCTTTCATTTTATTCATCCTAAGCAATCTGAAACCATGGATCTGATGGGCTATTTCCATGTTTTTCTAATACTCATTAAAATGTTAAAAGGAGAAAAGTTTATCCATCTGTCCCCTAATATTACTTCAGGTATCACCAATGGCACATTGGCCACTCTTTGGGAGGCACTTTCTCTACTGGATTCCTGTATTGGCAGTCTCCTGTACTTTTTGAGTGATGTACTCTACTGATAGATCCTCTCTCTCCTCAGGTAGGAGCTGTACTCCAAGACACAGTGCAGTTCCTCAGCAAGACCTGGTGTGCTCAGGATTCCAGCCTAGTTTATGAGAGAGCCTTTCTGGCAGTGTCAGTGAAACTTTTTGAATATGTGGCCCATGTGGCTCCTGAAGTGGTGAGACAGATGGCTGTCCCCATGACGAGTATGATCAATGGGAACCAAGCCATCCGAGAGTTCATTCAAGGCCAGGGGGGATGGGTAAGTATGTTGGGGCCCCTACCTTTGCTATGCACCTGCACTGTTTGGTATTAATACCTGGGACTCTAACTATGACCCTTTTTGTAAATTGGAAACCAAGCCAGAAAACAGGCCTCCCTACTTGGCTGAAATTGTTGCCATGGGAAAGGGGAGTAGAAGAAAGCTCAGCCTGTGGGGATTGGGCTCCGGAGTCATATTGCCTAAAGTGTTGTCTACAGACTCTATATTCATCTCCACTTCCTTCCAATAATCATATATATGAAGTATGCTGTTGGTAGAGTTCTAATCTCTGCTTGGCTTCAGTCTGTTCCCTGGTGAATTTCTGGGTCTTTTTTTTCTAACATCCTTTAATGTGTTTTAAGGAAATTCAGAACTTTAATATTATCTAACAAAAAAGCAGTTTATCTCATCTGTTATAGTGGTAACTAAAAGACATTCTAAGCCTAGGTCTTAGTAATTGTTGGAACCTCTGCTATCATAGAGTGTTTCTCTATTTCTAGGATGTGGGGTGAGGAGCAGTGTGTGGGGGGTGCCTATAACCTCAAGAATTTGGGAGGCTGAGGAAGGAGAATTGCAAGTTTGAGGTCAACAAGAGCAATTTAGTGAGACACTGTCTCAAAATAAAAAATAAAACTGTAACTCAGTACAGCACCCCTCAGTTCAATCCCCACCACCAAATAAATTTTTAAAAATTAAAAAACAAAATTGTTCCCTAGATTATCTACAGATCATTCACTGATTTCTTAGGAAATTTTTTTTTGGGGGTGGGGGAGATTGGGATTGAACCCAGGGGTGCTTAATCACTGAGCTACATCCCTAGCCCTTTTGATTTTTTTATTTTGAAATAGGGTCTTACTAAATTGCTTAGGCCCTCACTAAGTAGCTGAGGCTGGCTACAAGTTTGGGATCCTCTTGCCTTAGCCTCCTGAGGTTCTGGGATTTACAGGTAATGCATCAAACTCCTGACACTTAGGAAGTTTTTAAAGACCATTCTTTGACTATAGGATTTTCACTATTCTTCCTAGGAAAATCTGGAGAGCTGAAGAAGTGGAATTATTCCCCAGACCAACATCACTTCCTCTTTGACTGAACAGGGACTGATTTCTGGCAATTAAAATGGACCAAAAAAAAAAAAATCAAAACAACTCACTTCATCTGGCAGAATTGAACTTAGCTGAATAAGTAATTTTCTACTGATTATTAAAGTTAGGAGAAACTCCCAGAAGCCTACAGAGATTTTATACTTTCTTTCTTTACATGAATTTTAATGAGATTTTGTTGAAGCAGAGACCTCCAGACACAAAGTAATGACTTGTTATGAGTAAACTTCTAGGCAACAGGACAGGCCTTTGCTGGAGATATTTTGGAGGAAACAGAGAACACTAGAAATTATTCTTTCAGATTTAGCCCTGTATTTTGGTAAGGATCTTGTCTACTAATTTTGCAATCTAAAGGGAGACTTTTGGTTGAAAAATCTTACATTATTTCAAGTTGATTTTCTCTCAAATTTATCCCTAAATTTCATGTTAATTTCACCTGAGCAGAATTAATTTTATGTATTTTAGAGGCTGAAAGCCAAAAATTGCAGTTTGTTCATTTAGCCTTTTACTAGAAAAGGTCAAAGGAAGATTAAAAATTATTGCATTTTTATTACCACAGGATGTAGGAAGTGCCAACCCACATTTAGGACTGTAGGGCCACCCCAGTTTAGATGAAGCTAGTTGCGTACCACAGAGTTTTTGTTTGTTGTTTTTTGTACTGGAGATTGAACCCTGGGGTGCTTTACCACTAAGCTATATCTGCAGACCTTTTCATTTTTTGAGACAGGGTCTTACTAAGTTGCTTAGAGCCTCACTAAATTGCTGAGGCTAGCCTCAAACTTGCAATTCTCCTATCTTAGCCTCCTGAGTTGCTGGGATTACATAAGTGATCCAATGGGCCTGTCCAGAGTTTTTAAAAGTATGGTCCACCTAGCACTTGTGAGTCTTATTAAATTGCTGATTCCCAAGTCCCACCCCTAGAAATTTTGATTTTGTAGGAGCGGAGACTGGGGCCTGGGAACCTATCATTTCAACTCCATAGGTGATTCTAATGCACATAGAGTTTGAGAACCATCACTTTAGAAAAAAAGTTGAAAAATTACAAACCATAGGCCAAATCTATCCTGCTCTTTTTCTTTCTTTCTTTTTTTTTTTTTTTATAAATAAGTGTTATTGGAATGTAATGTCACTCATTTGTCTATATATTGTCTGTGGCTGCCTTAACACTACAACAATAGAGTTGAATAGTTAGGGCAGACACCATGTGGCCTATCGAGTCTAAAATGTTTACTAGCTGACTCTACAGGAAAAGTTTGCTGATCTCTGCTCTAGAGCTAAATGAACATTTCTTCTGGAGTAATTTTAAACTTTGTTACAGTTCTGATAATTTCTATAAACACAGTTGTAATTAGGAATTAAACTCAAAGTTACTAAGCCCTTTTTTCAGAACTTAGTTTGAAGGTGTCTTATTTTTGTTTTTTAAATTTTTTTTAGGTACCAGGGATTGAACCCAGGGGTGCTCAAACACTGAGCCATATCCCCAGTTCTTTTTATTTATTTATTTTTTAATTTTGAGACAGGGTCTCACTAAACTGCTTAGGGCCTTGCCGAGTTGCTAAGGCTGGCTTTTGAACTTGCAATTCTCCTGCCTCAGCATTCTAAGCCTCTGGGATTACAGGCATGTGCTACCATGCCCAGGAGAGAGGCTTCAGTCAATCAGAGAGCTCTGTGGTTCCTGAGTTTCTGATAAAAGGTATATATTTCTTTGGCCTTACAAGCGAAAGTGATTGTAAGTAAAAATTATTCTATGATCTGTGTGTCTCACAGTAGTCCTTAAAAATATAGTCAATTAGTAGGCAGTCATCAGCTACAGATTCTAAAACAACAACAACAACAACAGACTATTTACTTGAATGTCAGGAAGAAAATACTGCTATATGTACTTATTAAATCAGGTGTTTGTGACTTTGGCTGAATTTTACCAAAGCTAACTACTTTCCCTCCCTCAGCCAGCCATCTCTCTGGCTTTTAAGTGCAGAGAAGTAAATATACGATTCTGTTAATATATTTTTGCTTTTCCATGTAATACTTATTTTTTCTATTCCTGGAAAAAGATCACAATAGGTTAATAATCCAGAGACAAAATTTCTTTTTTCTTTTTAGTAGAAATTAGCCATGTTTACTACCACCTAAGACAGTTGATATATATCTAAGTCCCTTATATAAAAATCAAGATGGTGAGTTTTGTGGTATTTGACCTCTTAGGCAAAAGCATAATATTTTCACTTTGACTAATGCTGTTTATGAAATAAAATTATTCTGTTTATGCATTTGAACTCAGTTTTAGCAAGTGCAATCTAAATTGGATATTAAACTGGGCATGGTGGCACATGCCTATAATCCCAGTGGCTCAGGAGGCTGAGGCAGGCTTTTGCAAGTTCAAAGCCAGCCTCAGCAACTTAACAAGGCCCCAAACAACTTAGTGAGACCCTGCTTCAAAATAAAAAATAGAAAGGACTGGGGATGGGTCTCAGTGTTAAAGTGATGCTGGGTTCAATCCTGGTACCAAAAAAAGTCAGGCCAGCCCCTCCTTTTTCTTTTTTCCCTCTTATCATACCAGCTCCCTATTTCATCCTGTTTTGCCCCATAAAACATCAGACTGTGAATTTAGTTCCAATTATACCGCAGTGTATTGAGGTTAGAAGATACAGTGCCCCTTGAGATGATACCAGGCAAGTGGGTCAAGCAGCTCTGGCTTCATGTTGCATCTGTTGCTAGGTCATCCCATCTTAGGAAAGCTTAAGTGATTGGGCTGCTGGAAGAAGACCTTGTCTAGCTCAGAGATGACGAATGCCTTCCGATTACCTAATTTTAACAATTTAATTTCACTGTAGGGTAATTATATGACTTTGGGCAAGTGACCTAATTCCTCTGTGCCTTACTTTCCACATCTGTAAAACAAAGATTATTTAGTAACTACTTCATAAGAATATTGTGATGGATATATGAAACAATATACTCTGTAAAGGGCTCATCTTAGTACCTGGCATAATTTAACACTGTACTGTTAGCAATTTGGAACCCCTGTGATTTGGAGTTCCTAAGGTTCTAGATTGGCTTTTTTTTCCTCCATTAATTTTGTCTCTCACATACATAAGTCAGTCTTAGAGCTTCATCTTTCACTCAATGTGAGTGATTCCTAAGTATGATTTATTTTTCTTCTTCTCAAATCCACAAACTAATGCTTATTTCTGCATGCCTTTCTTATCTCACACTCTCCTAGATTGCCATCCAACTGGCTCAGTCATTTTTACCCTTTTCCCTCTTTCGTCCTAATCATCCAGTTAATCTTCCTCTTTTATTCCTTCCTGTCTTCCCTTATAATATGTGGGTCTCAGAGTCAGAAAGCATTACTCACTGTTTTTTGTTTTGCTTTGTTTTTTAACCAGAGCGCTTGCCTTGCATGTGTGAAGCACTGGGTTCAATCCGCAGCACAACAAACAAACAAACAAACAAATAAATAAATAAAGATATTGTGTCCATCTACAACTAAAGATAATATTAAAAAGAAAAGAAACACTTTCCAGAAGCATTAGTTTGTTTCCATGCTCTTAAAATCCTTTACTAAAACTTTTTAGGGTAATTGAGTATGTTTATTATCTTGATTGAGGTAATGGTTTCATGGGATACATACATGTCAAAAGTGTACAGTTTGACATATGTAGCTTGTTGTATGTCAGTACTACTTCAATAAAGTTGTTTTTTAAAAAGAAATTTGAGGTTGGAATGTGGCTCAGTGGCAGAGTACTTGCCCAGCATGTGTGAGGCTCTGGGTTCTATTCCCAGCATGGCAAGGTTCCTGGCTTTCCACCAGCCTGGGATTCAAATCCCCCCAGGATGTGACCCCAACTGCCCTTTCTAGCCTCTACTGCTTTCTGTTTCATATTGCTTTTTCTCATCTCAACCTATTGAAATCTTCAAGACCAACTCAATGATCACTTCCTCCATAGAGGCTATCTATAGATAACCCCCAAAAAGTGATCTTTGGCTCTTTACACTTATTTGCATCACGTTTATGGTTCTTTTCACAAATAGCCTTCAATTGTAGTTATTTGTATATTTGTTGTTCCTATTAGAAAACAGGATCCTTAACGGGTACTTAGTTGTACACTTCTCTAACACCCCTCTCCTCCATTCTCTCACATGTGTATGGATGTTATAAATCTTCATTAAATGAATAAGTGATTAAAATGAAGCTTCAGGTTTGATTATACATTGAGCAAGATTCAAAGCCTCACCAAGAGTCCTGACTCTCTATTTTTTAAAGGTTAAATTGCTTCAATTGCAAGTTATGAATTGACTTTTGCCTCTTGGGGTTTTTTTTGGAACCAAGGGCAGAGTATGATCCCCTATGTGGAATATGGGAAGGTGACTCTGAAGTCTGTAGCAGGTAAACTGAAGAGCTTGATGAGGTTTCAAAATGTTGTCATGATAAACAGCAGATTAAGGGACCTTTCTTCTGAGGACAATGTGAAAAACACGACAAATTAAACAAGCTTCATTATAGGTATTTTATGAGTCTCTTCTTCATTGCTTTTGATATACCTGAAATTATAGGTGGCATTTTGCATATCCTCTTTGGAACAAGTTTCTCTTTTAAAATAAGTCTGTTCTGGAGCTGAAGGAGGTCATTTCTTTCTGGCCTTTCTGAGCTGGACTCAGAGCCTCAGTAGCCCTACCACTTGGGAAGCAGCATTTGGGGAAGTGCTCTTTGCCAAGTTCCTGGGCCTCCCTGTAGTGAAGGCCCATCTGCTCCTGGCATAGTGAAACGGCCCAGCCAGAGACTGGAAACCTAGACTGTGCCAGCATAGAGACCTGGAGTAAATAGTGTAATGAAAAACCAAGATGAAGTTGATTTTTCACCAAAGCCGAACCACTTAATACAGCATACTTTATCACAACAAATTTCTTTTAAGTATGCTCAAGACATGTTGAGTACAGTGAGTTATACAAATGCATGGAAGACACTATCATTGCCTTTGATATACCTGAAACTATAGATGGCATTTTGCATACCCTCTTTGGAATAAGTTTCTCTTTAAAAAAAAAATTATGGGGAGCAAGAAGCATATGAATAATTTTAAAAACTTCTATATCTGAATATAAAGACTTATATTGTAGGGGCCCAAACTAAGAGAAGATCATGGCAAGATAGAGTTAGGGGCAAGAGTCTTAAAAAACAGGTGACTGAACTTTATGGCTTTATTTTCATGCTGGGAAGATAGGGGTAAAGGTAAGAAGTAGCAAAAGAAGTGGTAGTAGGTGAACAGTCTGTAGGTGATGTGATTGGAGAGGTTGGGTGGGGACAGATGATGGGGAAGGATCTGGCAACAAGCTGAGGAATCTGGATTTGTTCCTAAAGCCTATCAGTAAGTATTTTGGTACTTTTGTATTAAAGTGAAATATAAGAATTTGGGGGCTGGGGCTGTAGTTCAGTGGCAGAGCATTTACCTAGCATATGTGAGGCACTGGGTTCGATCCTCAGCACCACATAAAAATAAACAAAATAAAGGAATGATATCCATCTACAACTCCAAAAAGAAAAAAAAAATAAAAGAATTTTCATCTACCTTTGTTGCCAGGAGACTCTAGACTGGAAGATATATAAATATATGGAAGATCACCTAAGAGCTCATTGCTACAGGAAAACAGATGTGAAAACTGGAATGGTAGTTAACATGAGAATAGACAGGA